CTTGCAGTACGTTACTGTTTTTTAGTCAAAAAGTTTTTCAGAAAAATATGGTCCAGATGATCGTCGGAAAGAGTTGAGTGCCGTCCGTACTAATAAGTATTGTATTTATGCATGTGCTCAAATCCTTATCATTATATGGGCTTTCAGCAAAGCTTTTACATGTTATTAGCATACAATAATCAGAAGTGTTAGTTGTAAAATACATCAATTAATACTGTAAATTAAATATATATAAAAAGAGAATCATACTGTACTTAATAAAGTATACAAAAATATCTTTGCAAAACTTCTCTGATAATGAATACACATATTTAGAAGAGTTACAATTATTATCAAATAAAGGATATTTTTATTCATTATCTAAAGAATCACTCTTATCATTTGACGAACAACAACCTTTATCATTAGATAATAATCTATTATTATTAGATAATAACTTTTCTTTAAATAAGCTCTCAATATATAGTAAACCTGTCTCAGATAAAGAATTTTCAGATAGTTCAACTAATTCCACTTAAAATACAATTACAGAGGTGTCAAAACCATCACAACAAAATATTATAGTTAATAAAAGAAAAAAAAAAATTTAAACCAGAAAAAAGTTAGATATGGCATTATATGAAAAAAGACAAACCTGCCAAAATGATCAAATGCTAAGCATAGATTGGTGGTAATAATAATCTTAAACAATATACAAATACTTTCGAAATTACAACAAGTGTAACAAATTTAGCTAGCTATCTTCAAACTATACATAGATTAAGTAAAACTGGCTCTTTGTTACCTTTAAGTGGTGGAAAAGAAGTAGCATAGTTACAACCTGTTCAATTAAACCCATCGCAGCCTACTTTATTAGAATTAGTCAATTGTTGGACAATGCCACTTCCAAATAAAAAACAGAATAAGATTACCTCTAGAATATTAGCATGAATAATTGATAATATACAACCTTTTAATGTTTTAGCAAATGAATGATTTCAGGATATTTTATATAAAGCAGAACCACAATTCCAATTTCTGGGCGAAGATATGGTTAAGCAAAAGCTATTTGAATTAGTAAATTATTCTGAAAATAGTCTAAAAGATTTAATTAATAACATATTAGAATATTTTATATTTATTACTAACTTGTGGACTAAAGTTTATATACCTTATATTGGAATTATAACACACTAGCTTTCTTTTAAATTTAAAATGCATAAAACTTTATTTACAATTAAAAGTTTTCTATATCTGCATATATCTGAACATATCAAAGATTGTTTAAAAAGAGAGTTTGCTAAATGGAATTTAAGTGACAAATATATAGCAGATATAACTGACAATCTAACTCAATAGTAAAAGCTTTAAAAGATATTGAAACCTAACATATTCAATATATCACTTATACTATTCAGCTTGGAGTTAGAGATAGTTTAAAGTATGCAGCTGATCTCATAAAATATACCAAAGCTCTAAATATATTTATTGCTAGAAAAGACAAATATAGAGAAAAATTACAATCAATACAACTTGAAATATTTAAAGCAAAAAACCTATTAACCAATAATAAAGATATTTCAGTTTTGGATCCAATTTTAAATAATATCACAACTAGATAAAATTCCATATATCTCTTACTAAGTTGGCTACTTGTACTTTATGAAGTAATAGAAAAGCTTCAAAAAGATCTTGCAAAGGATAAAGAAAGAGATGTTAAAAATAATGCCAAAGCACTTGAAGAATTACTTTTTAATGATAATGATTTGCTAGGAGTCTAGAAGTTGGTCAAATTGCTAGGTCTATTTGTATATGTTACAACTATAGCAGGTGGAGACTATTACCCTACTCTTTTAATGATATTACTATTAGTTAAAATTTTGCAAGAACATTTATATTAAAAAGAAGAAACTTTCACATATTCAATTATTTGTAAAGTACATGATGAAATTAAGTGTTATTTGGTAAATATTGGGAAGAACCCGAGCTAGAAGGATACATTGTAGCTATATTAGATACAAGATTTAAAGATTTAAATTTTAAGCCAGCAAAATTTGAATCAACAAAAGATGAATTAAAATATAGAATGATAGAAGATATAAAAAATAATAATTATTCTTTACCTAACAATAATTTACTTACTTCTTTATTGAGCTTACTATTTGAAGAAACTACCCACTAGTCATGCCCTGTTGAAACTAAACTAAAAGTTTATTTTGATATATCTAAAATGGCTAAGTATAATCTTTCTGATCCTCTCTATAAAAAAAATAACTCATTAACCTTTTGGCATGATAATAGATCAAGTCTTTCTTTAATGGCACACTAAGCATGATAGTTATTATATATTTCTGAAACTTCAGTTCTCTCTGAGCATTTGTTTTCTGACACTGGAAATACAATTACTAATAAATAAAGCCGTCTTTATCCCAATATGATTCATGATCTGCTTTTTCTAAAAGAAAATCAACCCTGTTTTAACTCTTATCTCAATTTAAAATAAAATTTTCATAAATTTTTAAATAAAATCTTATTTTTTTTTTTTTTCCTTTGATAACCGCGTACTAAAATTTTATTAAATGTAATGCTTAATACAAGACCAAGCTATCT